AATGTCCACCCCAATATACGCACTTCCCTTCGACCTGGAAGAATGGGAATGGGGGGGGCATCACCCCGTCCCTATCTGGCAATACACAGCAAAAGAGGGATATAAGTGGGCCCATGTCCTGCTCCCATCCACACAGATAGTTCAACAAAGATGGAAGAGGGATTCCCCGGTGGAAGTGGACAAATTGCGACATATCCCGTGGACAACCTACGCTCACATAATGCCCACCTCCCATAGAGCCTTGCAATGGCAAATAACGCACCGTTGCCTTCCGACTCCGGATTGGGTGACCTCCAGATCTAGATTGGAATAAGCAGGAGCTTTGTCCCCTATCTGCTCCCAATGCGGACCCGAGACCGAAAGCCGCAGAGCGGACCTGGAACACTGTTTGCTTGCATGTCCAGTGGCAATAAAGGTTTGGCAATGGTGGGACGCGATGTGGCATGCCCTCACAAACACTGAGTTTGAATGGGACATTGCACTCATCCTCTTGGGAAAACTTGGAAACCACCCCGCAGCCTGGACCCCATGCCAACGAAATCTGTTCGGATGTATGCGATTGCCAATACTCATGGTAATATGGCAAATGAGATGCTCAGGGGAACGCCAAGATGCAGCCTTTGGCTACCACCAAGCAAAAGTGGAACTGGTGGAGGTCCTCGGGGTGAACTTGCTGAAAGCGAGCAGGAAATTAGCTGAAGTACTGACCACGAGCCCGGACAGAGAAAGTAAACAACAGGCCATTCAGGCCTTCCGGAAACTCTGGATCGATCCTCACGGAAAGCTAGCAGATCTGCGTGATGACGGAAAACTGATATGGAAAAACTGGGCAGCACAAGAGGACCAATGGTCCTTCCGTCCGCCCGACAGCTTTTCCACCCCTCTACCAGGCCAAATAAAAGGGGCAATGGTATTAATGCCCTCAACAAGAAGCTTAACAACAGGGTCCCTGGGGGACGTTGGCCCCCAATCACCCCTCCCCTCGCTCGGGATGCCCTTTCCCCCATTACAGCCTCCTCCACCAACCCCCCCCCCCCCCCCCACCCCCCCCCCCCCCGATGGTCCTCCTTCCCCCCGCCCCGTCCCTCCCCTCCCCATCCTGTATAACTCGCCGCCTAACCCCTTCTCCACCCCGAGCCAACTCCTGCAACGACATTGAAAGACTATCACTGTCAAAGACCACAGCGACACAGACTATCACTGTCAAGACCACAGCTGTCAAGACCACAGCGGCACCGGAGGACACCGATCGGCAGGGAGAGAGGATGCAGCAAGGGACACACGTCATAATTTGGGGGAGGAAGCGTGCTGATGGAGGTCTGTGTACTACACTGACTGCAGCTCACCGGAAGCCACAGGTAGCAGAAGCAGGTAGCGGTGATGATAAATGGGGACCGACTGGACAGCTAAACGACAACGGCGGGCAAATGCGACATGCTTCGGCACTCGAGACTGGTCTGTCTGCCTAAAAGTCAGAGTAGGCATTACCAGGTCCTGCACTACATCTACATGTCCACAATCATCCCTGCTGCACATGCACCGCACACACAAGGCGTCTGTCAGTTTCTCGCTTTTGAGGCTGTCTCACGAGACATGAAGTCACTGCTAACAAACAGACAAACAAATTAAACTAAGATAGTAGAAATGCCTACCTAATTTTAGACCTGGAATGCGAGCTCTGAGGCCCGTGCTCCTGGCGTCAAGGATCATGAAGGTCAGGAGTACGAGGTTGAGAAGGGTAGAGGGTATAGGGTTTAAGGGGCTCAAGGGATAAAATAGGTCTGCCATTTTGAAAAGGGGCTCCTGACCAGGGCGGGGCGAGCAAATATGGGGTGTTCTAAGTAGGGAGGGGAATCATTAGCAGCTCCATGGGAAAAAGACACC